AAAATAATTGAACTGGATTATCTTAACATTTGTATGATGGGAGATTTTCATGAAATAGTAGACAATAAACTGGACTATACAACACAAAAAACAACAAGGCAAAGTAGACTCTCCCTAAATCCTTTTTTAAACGATAGATGAAATAAATTTAAAAGATGCATGGAGAGAAAAAAATGCTAAGACCAAACAATACACTTTTTATTCAAACAAACATTCATCATGGTCTAGAATAGACATGATATGGATGTCAACAGAATTGATCACTAATCTCCAAGAAATTGACATAGCAACAAGCACTTGGGCAGACCATAACCCAATGACAATTAAATGGAAAGGACAAAGAAGAAGATCCAGATGGACTTTAAATAATACTATATTAAAAGAAAAAGACTTTATACAGAAAATGGAGAAAGAATTGGCTTTTTTTCTTCAAAGAAAATAAAAAAGAAGATACAACAATGCAGAATTTATGGGATACAATGAAGGCTTATGCTAGAAGCTTGATAATAGACTATACAAGGAAAGGAAATATTATGAAAAACAAGCCTCTAAGACATTAAAGGATGAGTATAAAAGACTTGAAAAAGAGTTACAGAAATTGCCACAGAAAAAGGACATTAAGTTAAAAATGGATGCAATTAAACATAAAATGGGATTAATAGAAAAAGAGGAATTAGCACAGAAAATCAGAGATGCAAAGCAGAATTATTGTGAAGATGCAAATAAACCAGGTAAGATGGTTAGCATATAAACTGAGAAAGGAGAGAGGATCAAGGAAAATATTGCAATTAATAGATGATCAAGGCCAAGCTTATTATGGAAGTAAAGAGAAGAAAAACATTATACAAGACTACTATGGGAAACTATATGAACAAGAGAATATAGACAATGAAAGAGTTAAACAATACCTGCAGAATGCTAATCTACTCCAGATACCTAAAGAGACTGAAATAATGTTAGAAAGTAACATAACAATGATGGAGTTAACCGAAGCACTTAAGAAGCAAAACAATGGAAAGGCACCAGGTCCAGATGGACTTCCAGCAGAATTCTATAAGACACTACAAGAATTGTTGAATCTTCCATTGCTAGAAGTTATGAATGAAGTTATGTCAAAGAAGAGGATACCCAAATCGTGGTCGGAAGCATATATTACACTTGTTCCAAAGGAGGACACTGACCCACAACAAATTAAGAACTATAGACCTATTTCCCTGTTAAACTAAGACTATAAAATCTTTGCTTCAATATTGGTAGAAAGACTTAAAAGATATTTGAACAACTTTATTCATCCTGATCAAAATGGGTTTCTGCCAAAGAGACAAATTAAAGACAGCATGAGAACAATTTTAGATACTTTTGAAAATTATGAGGCACATCCCGAAAAAAAATGGCTTTGATATTTTTAGATACACAGAAGGCCTTTGATAATGTGAACTGGTGATTCATGTTATTACAGTTGGAGCAGATCGGCTGTGGTAAGAAATGTATCCATGCCATAGAAGCTATATATCATAAACAAACAGCAAAGGTAATGATAGAGGGAGAATTGACGGATTCCATTGATATAAGAAAAGTGGCAAGACAAGGCTGCCCATTGTCACCTCTGTTGTTTGTGTTAACTTTGGAAGTGTTAAATAGAAACATTAGAGAAGAAAAAGACATAAAAGGGATGAAAATTAAAAAGGAAGAATTTAAATTGCAAGCATTTGCAGATGACCTGGTTTTCATTTTAGAAGATCCATTAGAAACAGCATTTAAACTAATAGAAAACATAGAGGCATGTGGAAAAGTAGCTGGTTTGAAAATAAATAATGATAAAATGAAGATTTTGACAAAGAATATGTTATTAAGACAAAAGGAAGAATTGGCGGATATTTTGAAAATCCAGGTCACAAATAAGGTTAAGTACTTGGGGATACATTTGACAGCAAGGCGTAGCACACTTAAAGAGAATAACTATATTAAATAACAGATTGCAACAGACTTGGCGAAATGGAAAAATTTTCAGTTATCATTAATAGCGAGACTATCAACAATTAAGATGTATATTTTGCCTAGAATTTAATATCTGTTTCAAACAATTCCAGTTAGGTTAAGGAAAGACTACTTTGAAGATATAATAAAATAGTGCTGAAGTATATATGGCAGGGAAAGAAAGCAATAATAAAATTAAAACTGTTGCAATAAGCTAGAATAAGAGGAGGATTTGGCCTGCCTAATTGAGAGTTATACTATCAAGCTACAAATTTGATGTGGGTTAAGGAATGGATAACACTAAGAAATACTAGATTGTTGACATTAGAAAGACATGATTTGTTGCTGGGATGGCACACTTTCTTATGGTACAAGGGAACTAAAGCACAGGGGTATTTTAGAAGACATTATATACGGGAGGCATTGTTAAATTGGGAGAAGACTAAAAGGCAATGTTATTTGAAAATTGCAGTCTGGCTATTGACTATTGAAGTATTTTCTTATCCTATAATATACAAAAAGGAACAAACAGTTAGATATGGTGAAATATTGAATGAAAAAGGTGAACTTAAATCTATGCAAAAACTAGAAGGACAAGGTATAAAGTTGAATTGGTTTTCATATGCGCAAATACGCTCTAGATATGATGAAGATTCCAAAAAAGAAGGTTTTTCTGATAAACTGACTGACTTAGATACGATTTTGACAGGTACTGATGATAAGGTGATTAAAAAACTGTATGGATATTTATTAGAAATTAAGCTAGAAGAAGAACAGTTAAAAAAACAATGATATCTTGGGATAAAATTTTTGGATATGGGATTGACTTAGAGAAATGGCAAAAATTGTGGTCTCAAAATTATAAAATGACAATGTCAACAGCATATAAAGAAAACGTGTATAAGATATTTTACAGGTGGCATATTCCCCCAAAAAGAATAGCAAGATTGTTCAAGAATAAATCTGAAAAATGTTGGAAATGTCATCAGGCACCTAGTTCATATTATCATATGTGGTGGACATGCGCGGATGCTAAAAGATATTGGACTAAAATCCACTCTATCCTTGGTTGGAAAAAGGGTCTGTGGACTGTATCGTCAATTGGAAAAAATGACAAAAAAACACATAGACTTGAAACCAGAGATATTTTTATTGGGAATTTTACCTGAAATATACAGTAGGGAATTGAAATATTTGATTATAAATTTATTAACAGTGGCTAGGATTGTATTTGCCAAAAATTGGAAAAATGAGAAAATACCAACACAGGAGGAAGTTATCAAGAAAATAATGAAATGTGCTGAAATGAGTAAATTGATGTTTGAAGTTAGAGAACAAGAAGATAAACAATTTTATAAGATTTGGGATTTGTTTTACCAATGGTTAGAAAATAAAATATAGTAATGAAATATTTAGAACTTTAGAATAAAACTATATAGAATATATAAATATGTATTATATTATAATTATGGGATGGTTTTAGGTTGATAATATGATTTACTATAAGATAAATCAATTTAAAAATATGGAATGTCTCACATAATATGAATGAATAATAATATAGGCAAAAGATACAGTAACAATGATAATAAAGTACTTAGGAATATTTGATTGATAATATGAGAATATATACAGGTAATTGTAAGTGAGGACTATGGAGTAGATGAACAAAACAATTTGTAACCCACCGACACACTTTATGTATGTAAGTGGAAGATGGCTTGATGTTTTTATGTTGTGTTTGTGTATGTTTGTCTAAAAAATAAAAAATAAAATGTTTTTTTAAAAGAAGATTGACTTTATTACTACTAAAATTTCTTTACAAACTCATTGCTGTCTTTTTCAGTCAAGAATTGTGCCTTTCTCTCATGGCTTTTTTTCCCCCACCTTGTCCCTTCCTTTCTTCATCTCCTTGAAGGTAATGCCTCCTTTTTTAACTGAGCTCTCATGACTCATCCTTCCTCCCTCCTTCTTAACTCTTTCTTTTCCTGTTTTCTTTCTATATTTCTTTAAATAACATCCCTTACTAGTCATTCCATTATTTGTCCCTTCCCATTCCAGAGATTTGTCCACTAAATGTTATATTACAAAGGTGTCACAACTCACTAAAGTAATCCTCTTTATGGCTGCTTAATTCAGCCCCACAGTGCCTTTCAGGTTTCCCCCCTCATGCAAACTCCCCCCAAAAGCAAATCATCACCATGGCTTCATTTTTCCATTTAAATTACCCATCTTACCCTTTGTTGGCTCCTCATTTTGCCTGGTGTTTAATATAGCATTATGTTTACGTGAGTTTTAAAGAAACTTTTTGATTCTTTTCCCAGTTTTAACCAAGCACTCTGTTATCTCCATCCTTCTCTCCTGCTAACATTTTTTTAAAAAAGAATTAATACAATACACGTTTTTTCCCTATATCTTTTTGTATCTCTTTCCAGAAGAGACATGGCCACAAGGATGGCTTCCAAAGCTACTTCAACTTCCTGAATAAATTCTATATGCAATCCTTTAATTCAAATCCATGTTGTCTTACAGATCTCTGTCCTTCTTGGAGCCTATTCTTATGTGTGTGTTCCTTACCTCCCTTAGTTTACCTGTCTTGTTTATGCTGGTTTCTGAGTTAGCTTGATGTGTCTTATTGCATCCAGGCTAACATTTCACTAATTTGGGGCAAAGTTGTAATTTTATAAAGCCATAATTGCCCCATTAAACAATTTCCTAGGATTTCTGATCTCTCAGTGCTGTAGCCACAGTAAGATTTCAGCCCTTCTCCACAAGCCTGTAATTTTATCAAGCCACAAGCTGACACTGGATAAAAAAGAGAGAGAAATAGATCTAGTACTTTTCCTTTTGCTACTGAACAATACTGTGAAAATAAAAGGGAGGGAGGACATTCACTGCCTATCTAAGTTTTTTCTTTATTACACGCATTTAAGTGCTATGGATTTGAGTTTAGGTTTACAATCTAGTTTTTCTGAAACTTAGTTTAATGCAACAAATCCTTTCCAGATTCTTTTTTTTTAAACCTTTTGTGGTAGCTATTTCCTCCACCAGACAAAGAGCTTCTTCCTGCACCCTCTCAGACATTCTTTTCTTCCCCATCCCAAAATCTCGCAAGGTGGACAGTGTGAACCGTCGCAGCTCCCTCCATTTCTTCTCACCAGTAGTGGTCAGACCTGAAACCAAAGACATGGGATACAGATCACACTGTGATATCAGTTCTCAAATTTTGCAGATGGGGAAAAAACTATACATTACCATTTTTCCACAGCCCACATTTAAAGAAAACAAGCCTTCATGCTTGAATTGCTAATTAGATGAAGTGCAGAGTTTTCATCTATTCATTCTTGTTAAGAGAAGAATGAATGAGGTTGTGGAAATCATGTCACAAGTTACTATAAGTCTGATATGAAGAGGGACAGGTCAAGGAAAGATTTCTAGACCAGTCATGGAAAGATTTCTATACTAAGATGCAATTTTCAGTAAGCAGAGAAAAATGGGAGTTGCTTCAGTTCAGATATTTTTGAATAGTAGAGCTTTTGTACACAAAAAAGAAGTCACTTCCAATTGCTCTCTTACTTGGTTGTTTGATTATGCACCATCAAGTCACTGTCAATTATAAGCAACCACATAGATTTTGTCCATTACATCCTCACTCCCACCTAATTCTTGAGGATTTTGATATAGTTGTCATCATTGTAACTAATTCCATCATCTATCCTCCCTACAACATTTCCCACAATTACAACTCTCTCTAGAGAGCTAGGCCTTTGTACAATCTTTCTGAAATATGATCATTTAACTCTAGTCATCTGTGTTTTGAGTGAAAATTCTGGACTGATTTGTTCAATGGTTTGTTTTCTTGGGTATCCATGATATTCTCAAGAGTTTTCTCTGGAATCTTCTCCAACATCAAATCTTAAAGACATCAATATTAAAAACATCAATATAATTTGTCTGGAACTCACATTGCATATAGGACATTAATACAATTGAGAGAGTCCAGAGATATTTCATGAGAAGAGTCTTCCAATCCTCTACTCACAACAGAATACCTTATGCCACCAGACTTGAAATGTTAGGCTTAGACAACTTAGAATACCACTGCCTTCGGTCCGACCTAAGCATGGTACATAAAATTATCTATTGCAATGTCCTACCCGTCAATGACTACTTCAGCTTCATGAGCACACAATAGATACAAACTCAGGGTAAACCACACCAAACTCGATTGCAGGAAAGACAACTTCAGCAATAGAGTGGTTAATGCCTGGAATACACTACCTGACTCTGTGGTTTCTTCTCCAAGACCCCAAAATTTTAACCTTAGACTGTCTACTGTTGACCTCACCTGTTTCCTAAGAAGTCTGTAAGGGGCACGGCTAAGCGCATCAACGTGCCTACTGTCCCTGTCCTAATGTTCCCTTTTATTTGTATCCATTCATGTATTAATAATCATCTTTATACTTACATCTGTTATCTAATACATGCTCAACAAATAAATAAATAAAACATAAAAATACATTTTCTCTATCCTGCTTCTTCAAAATCCAATGATTTTGAAGGTACATGAAATTGATATTCAACATTAATCCAGATAGCATAAGCCAAAAAACATCTTCATTGTTAAACCATTTTGTATGTATTGCAAAGGACCAAATTAAACGTCAAATTATTGTTGTTGTTTGCTGTTGTTTTGCATGTAAGCAACAATCTGAGCAGACTTAAGAAGCGACCATTGGAAAGGAAATAGTGAAAAAACATTTTCTTCCTTTTTCAAGAAACATGATCAAATGTACATCTTTACAAGACATTTCAAGTGAAACTTTCACAACTATCAATATTATTAATGGCATTCAGATAATTTGTACAGAAAATTAAAGAAAAACAATAACTAATAAAAATGAAAGAGGATCAACCTTTATTTTGGAACATTCGATTATGTGAAGGCCTTTGAGTTCGCCCACCAAATTCTTCTGAATGATCTACCAAAGCTTCTTTTACCACCTTGTAACCACAAAGAGCAACAAATGGTCGTGATCCATTCCAGACAGTAAAGAGAGGTCCATATTTCACAACAAGCTAAGGGTAGAATTAGATGAAAATCCAGTTAATTAGGTAATAAAGCATTTTTAATGAAATTATTATAAAGTATTTTTGAAATACTTCTTAAATTTGCCAAAACTTCAATAACTTTTAATTCCTACCAATTACGCCAATATGGTTATGATTTAGTACATGGCATAAATCTTCTAGTTGATGAGTGACCAATTATGGTATGTTGGCCTTCATGGGTATCTGTGGACTATAGAACCTAGCTTGGAGAGAATAGTTTGAGCTGCTCCAAATAAAACTGTACTTTGGTTATTCTTCTGATATACTAGCACAAAAGGATCAAAATGCAGAAGTTCTATTTTTACCATTAACAAAAAAAAGTTATGTGTTGCAAAGGTAAAACTAAGCCTGAAAACTATTGATGAGAGCTTATTGATTAAAGCTGGTCAAGTGATTATTTGTTGTGTCAAGGACAGGCCTTGGGACTTCTGGTGAAGATGACCAACTGACAACACACACAGGGAAGGATCATTGTGGCTTCCCGAGAACGGTTTTTCTCTAGAGTGTCACTTTTTCAACTTACCAACAGAAGGAACCTTTAGTTTATATGACTCTCCTGGGTTAAGGAGAGTTCTAGAATCATTGATCCTCCATACAGCAGCGGTCTGCAAGTTAGTTTCAGGAGATGTGCTTCAGAGCATGGCAGCCGGGGGCGGGGCAGGGTTGCAATCATTTTATTTGAAAAGCAGCAATTTTTGGAATGTATTTTTTCAAATGGATAGTAAGTTGTGCCTGTCATTTCTTAATCACTCTTAAGGATTATTAATCTCTATTAAGCTAGAAGAGACTTTCTTTAGCCACATCCTGTTATTCCTTTTTGAAGATCTGTGCCATTTGGGGGGATATTTTTATTGTTAAGCAACAAGTAAGAAAGATACTGAAGGCAAGCTGAAATAAGGAAGTGCGGAGTATCTTTTTTTTTTAACTTTGATGGTGAAATATGAGTAGAAAGCTGTGGTTCTAGATTTCCATTTGTAAATGATTTGTAGCTTGTCTTTTTTTTCTGTGGATAGTTAAAACTGTCTATTTTTTATGAATCCTGATTGGCCAACAAATTTAAGTGATATAAAAAAAACATACTCTTTGACTAAAGAAGTTAAGAAGATGGAGAAAGAAATCATTGGAGATGTATTTGAAAAATTCTTAATAAAACAGACCAGCTATATTCCAAGGATGTCAAAATAAAACTATTTAAACTACTTCAGAGATGCAATTGTGTGTAGAAATCTACTAAACTACGCAAGCAATTTCACAAGTAGCTGACAATGTAAAGGAGCCAATTGCAATTTTGGAATATTAACCTGATACCAATCTTTATTATGATGGTTCCCAACACAATTGAAAGAAGAGTTTCAAGAAAATCTGCAATTTTCAATAGGACAAGTTTGGGACTTTATTGATATTACACAGTTGAGAAATCCTTGAGAAGAAGAAAAGTTTATAATTACTTCATTGACATTTCAGAGAAGAAGAAAAATTTTATTCTATGCAGATAAGCTGGAAGGACATTTTCTGTAATTCTTTTTCAAGTCTTTTATACTCATCTTCCAAGGCTTTAGTGGCTTGCCTTTTCCTGATATTCTTTTTTCTTATGTAATCTATTATCAAACCTCTGGCATATGCCTTCATTGTATCCCAAACATTCTGCATTGAGATATCTTCTTTTTTATTTTCTCTAAAGGAAAAAAGCAGTTCTTTCTCAATCCATTGTATAAAATCTTTTTCCTTTAAGATAGTATTATTTAGCATCCATCTCGATCTTTTTTTTTGTCCCTTCCATTTAATTGTCATTGGTCTGCCCAAGTACTTGTTTCAATATTTGTTTCTTGAATATTAGATATTAATTCTGTTGAGATCCAAATCATATCTAATCTGGACCATGATAAATGTCTATTTGAATAGAAAGTGTATTGTTCTGTTTTAGCATTTCTTTCTCTCCATATATCTTTTAAGGTTAATTCATCTGTCATTTTAAAAAGGGATTTAGGGAGAATCTTTCTATTTTGCTTTGTTGTTGTTGCTATATAGTCCAGTTTATTGTCCACAATTCCATTAAAGTCTCCCATCATAATTACATTGGCATAGTCCAGTCCAGTTATTTTCATGTGTAGTTTTTTATAGAATTCTTCTTGTTTATCGTTCGGAGCATAAATTGCAATCAAGAGTATTTTTATATTGTTGTCCATTATTTCCACCATTAATACTCTTCCATCTTCATCAGTATAAATCAATTTTGCTGGGGTAGCTTCTTTAATGTATAAAACCACTCCTCTTTTCTTACATTGAGTCAAAGAAGTAAATATTTTCCCTAATTTTGGCTGTACTAACAATTGTTCATGTTGTTTTTTAATGTGTACTTCTTGTAAACAAATTATGTCAAACTTTAATTTCCCTAATTTATAAAAATATTTCCTTCTTTTAGCAGCTGAATCAAGTCCATTTATATTTATTGTAATCAGTTTTTTCTCTTCTATGATTATATTTTGTAGTTAGGTTTGACAGCTCTTGTAGATCTTGGTTCACGTTGTTCTTTGATATCCACCTGTCCACCTACTGCGCCTTCTTCTTTTTCAGTCCCCATTTGTTCCTCTTGGAATTCAATTAATGAGACCTCTTTCTCTGTCTCTTCCTCTCTCCTTCCGAAAAATTCTGCATAGAAAAGTTCTGCTTTCTCAATTGAATCAATTCTATGTCTCTGTTCTTGCCATGTAAACATTAGTCCTTCTGGAATCAGCCATCTATAATTCACCTCCTTTTTTAATAGCATTTTGGTCAAGAATCGATATTCTTTTCTCATCTCTCTCACTCTTCTGGTTATTTGTTTTAAAACTACAATCTCTTTGCCTTTGTATTTCAACGTCTTCTCTCTTACCGCTTGTAATATTTGTGTTTTGATGGATTTTTTGATAAATCTGATGTGAACTTCTCTTGGTAAGTTATTTCTCATCGCATATCTTGTGAAAACTCGGTATACCTTGTCTACTCCATCCATCATCTTTTCCTCTGTTATTTCCAAAGCATCAGCCAAAATTTCTATCATTATCGCAGCCAAATTTTGTCCTTTTTCTTCCTCTATATTTTGAAATCTGAGATAGAATTCTGACATAAAATGGGTTTAATAGAAAAAGAAGAACTGGCACAGAAAATTAGAAATGCTAAACAGAATTATTTTGAAGATGCAAATAAACCAGGTAGATGGCTAGCATATAAATTGAGAAAGGAGAAAGAATCAAGGAAAATATCACAGTTAATAGATGACCAAGGCCAAGTTTGTCATGGTAATAAGGAGAAAAAGGAAATTATTCGAGACTTCTATGGGCAACTATATAAGCAAGAGAATATTGATGAGGAAAAAGTCAAACAGTATTTACAGAATGCTAATTGACCTAAGATATCTAAAGAGACTGAAGAAATGCTAGAAAGCAATATAACAGTGATGGAATTAACTGAAGCACTTCAGTCAACTGAAACAAAATAATGGGAAAGCACCAGGTCCAGATGGGCTTCCGGCAGAATTCCATAAAACACTACAAGAATCATTGAGCATTCCATTGTTAGAAGTTATGAATGAAGCTATGTCAAAGAAGATGATACCTAAAACATGGTCAGAGGCTTTTATTACACTTATTCCAAAAGAAGAGGCTGATCCACTGCAAATTAAGAACTATAGACCTATTTCTTTATTAAATGCAGACTATAAAATCTTTGCTTCAATTTTAGCAGAAAGACTTAAAAAATATTTAAATAATTTCATTCATCCAGACCAAAATGGATTTCTGCCAAAGAGACAAATTAGAGACAATATGAGAGTAATCCTGGATACTTTGGAATACTATGAGGCACATCCTGAAAAGCAAATGGCTTTGATATTCCTAGATGCTCAAACGGCATTTGATAATGTGAACTGGAGATTTATGTTACTACTACTGGAACAGATGGGTTTTGCCAGAAAATTTATTCAAGCAATAGAAGCCATATATCATAAGCAAACGGCAAAGGTAATGATGGAGGGAGAACTTACAGATTTTATTAATACAAGAAAAGGCACAAGACAAGGATGTCCCCTATCTCCTTTGCTATTTGTATTGACCTTGGAAGTGTTGAATAGAAATATTAGAGATGATAAAAGCATAAAAGGAATGGAAATCAAAAAGGAAGAATTCAAATTGCAAGCCTTTGCGGATGACTTAGCCTTTGTTTTGGAAGACCCCTTAGAAACAGCTCCAAAGCTATTGAAAAAAAGATAGAGACATATGGCGAGGTGGCTGGTCTGAAAATAAATAAAGATAAAACAAAGATCTTGACAAAGAACATGCTACTAAGACAAAGAGAAGAACTGGCAGACCTGTTGAAAATCCAAGTCACGAACAAGCTCAAGTATTTGGGGATATACTTGACATCAAGATGTAGTACATTAAAAGAGAATAATTATATTAAACTTAAACAACAACAGCCTTAGAGTTGAAGAAATGGGAAAACTTACAATTGTCATTAATAGGGAGAATTTCAACAATCAAGATGAATATTTTACCCAGAATCTTATATTTGTTTCAAACAATACCAATTAGGCTCGGAAAGGACTATTTTGAAGACTTAAATAAAATTGTGCTGAAGTATATATGGCAAGGTAAGAAAGCGAGAATAAAGCTAAAGCTTTTGCAAGATGCTAGAATTAGAGGAGGTTTTGGCCTGCCTAATTGGGAGTTGTATTACCAAGCTGCAAATTTGATGTGGGTCAAGGAATGGATAACATTAAGAAAGATTAGATAGTTGACATTAGAAGGTCATGATTTGCTGTTGGGTTGGCACACTTTCTTATGGTATAAGGGAACTAAAACACAGAGTTACTTTAGAAGACATTATATACGGGACTCTTTGTGTTTAAACTGGGAGAAGATAAAAAGACAATGTTATTTGAAAATTCCAGTTTGGTTATCGATTATTGAAGCATTTTCCTATCCTATAATTTATAAGAAGGAACAAACAGTTAGATATGGGGAACTATTGGATGAAAAGGGTGAACTTAAATCGATACAAAATCTAGAGGAACAAGGTATAAAGATGAATTGGTTTTCATATGCGCAAATACACTCAAGTTATGATGAAGACTCTAAAACAGAGGGATTTTATGATAAACTGACTGATCTAGATAAGATTTTGACAGGTACCGATGAAGAGGTGATTAAAAAATTATATGGTTATTTACTGGGAATTAAGCTAGAGGAAGAACAAGTTAAAGAAAATATGATTGTGGGAAGAATTTTGGATATGAGATTGATTTAGAGAAACGGCAAAAGCTATGGTCGCAAAATTATAAAATGACAATGTCAACAGCTTATAAAGAAAATCTGTATAAGATGTTTTACAGGTGGAACTTTCCCCTGACAAGGATAGCAAGAATGTTCAAGAATAAATCTGAAAAATGCTGGAAATGTCATCAGATACCTGGCTCATATTACCATATGTGGTGGGCTTGTGAGGATGCTAGAAAATATTGGACTAAAATCCGCATGTGGTTGGAAAAAATGACAAAGAAACACGTAGATTTGAAACCGGAGGTTTTTTTATTGGGAATCTTACCAGATACATACAGTAAAGACTTGAAATATCTGATTGTAAATGTATTAACAGCGGCTAGGATTGTATTTGCTAAAAATTGGAAAAATGAGAAAATACCATTGCAGGAAGAAATTATTAAGAAAATATAGGAATGTGCTGAAATGAATAGATTGACATTTGAAATCAGAGAACAAGAGGATAAACAATTTTATAAAATTTGGGACCTTTTTTATCAACGGTTGGATGATAAAATCCAATAATAGAATATTTAGAATGTTAGATAACAAGGAATATCTTTGCTTTTTCTTTGTTACTTGACATCATATCTATAAAGTGTTTTTAGGAAAGATTTGGTATGATTATATGATTTGTTATAGAATAAACTACCTAAATTATAGTTATCTCATAAAGTATGAATGAATAAAATTATAGTCAAATGATTTTCTAATAGTGATACTAGGATATATAAGTTTGGATTGATAATATGAGTTATTATGTAATGTAACTGTAATTGAGACTACAAAATGAATGCACAAAACTGGTGAACAAACCGACACACTGTTTGTATATATGTATGAAGAGAGCTGATATTTTTATGTTTTGTTTGTTTTGTTTGTTTTTAAAAAAATCAATAAAACTGTTTTCAAAAAAAAAAGATAAGCTGGAAGGAGTGATTTAAACTTAATGAGTCTATTTGAATCAGGATGGATTTTTATCCGTTTGATATTTGTAATGGAAAGAAACCTTTAATATAAAGTGGGTTTGAAAATGCATTTTTTCTTTATATATAGTGCTTAACTTATTCCTAAAGATTGTAAAATATTATTGAAAGTGTATTGGAAAGTATCTATGCTAAGAGGCAGTTAAATAAAAAGATGTATTAATTGAAAGAAAAGTTTAGAGTCTTTTAAATGAATGAATACAAAAAGAAAAAAAAATATTCTACAAGGATAACTTGGAAGGACTGATTTAAATTTATTGAGTTAATTGAAGTTAGTTTCTTTTGTATTGGTTTGATCTATGTTATTGAAAGAAAGCTCTAATGCAGCTTGTGCTTTGTGTTTATAAAATCAGTTTGAAAAAAATTTCTTTTATATATAATTTTTGAGAAACATTTAAAGCTTGTGAAATATTACTGAAAGCAAATTTTAAAGCATGTATGTTAAGAGGAAATTTTTAAAAAGATGTATTAGAACTTACTGATTTTACAAACATTTTTTAAAAAGTTTAATGTTTTAAACTGGATGGAAAAAAGTGCTTTTTTCCTTTTAAGGTTAAAGAATTTGAAAGGATACAATGAATTTTGTTAATGTAGATGCTGATTGTTTGCAAAAATTATTAAATGCAAGCAGACAGAATAACAGAGTTGGAAGGGACCTTGGAGTTCTTCTAGTCCAACCCCCTGGTCAGATAGGAAACCCTCTACTCATGACCCGCAGGACAGATGTCAAATTCACGGCCCACAGGACAGATGGGTCACACCCCCAGTTTAGCAAAGGAGAAAAAAGTTGCAATACATCACAAGACAACAATGTGTAGTCGTAAGTTTGACACCCCTATCCTACACCACTTTAGACAAATGATTGTCGAATCTCTTCTTAAAAAATTCCAGTTTTGGAGCATTCAGAACTTCTGGAGACAAGTTATTCCACTGATTAATTGTTCTATCTATCAGGAAGTTTATCCTTATTGCTTCTCTCCTTGATTAGATCCCATCCATTAGATCCCATCCATGCATGGAAGAGAATAATTGATCCATTTGAAGGATGGAAGCAGGAACAAAATGAAGATAAACCATCTCTGGTAACCTAAATGGGCTTCAGGGAACTGGATTTCTATAATACTATAGGAAAGAGTTTGTGTTTCTGCATGTCTTTGTTGGCATTTAATGATCATCTGGATTTTTGCAGCCCAGATGAAGTTTATTAGGACAGTTGTTGTATCTGCATTTCAGCAACCTGGAATCAAACAGGGGAGCCAGAGGAAGAGGAGGTTTCAGTGAATTTGATGCTAAATCAAATGAAGCAAATTTGAGGTTCATAGATTTATTTTTCTAAAGTTTTCTTGTTACTTCATATTTTAATGAACTTTGAAACTTCCATTGCGGGTTTATCAGATTGTTACAAGGTGACTTTATATGATCATTCCCATTAAAGATACACATGAGCCCTCAAATAAAATTAGTTGTTTATAGAATAAATCAAACTAATTCAATTAAAGAAGGTATAGGTATCTTTCAAAGTAATCATCAGAAACTTTGACGAAGTACAATAGTTAACTAGCCTACCTTTTCATAATGTAAATACAAAGGTAGCACATCTCGCTGCAAGAGGTTCCCCAAAATAGGCCATGGAGTAGGTCCAGGGGGCAGCTGCCCTTTTTTCTGGTACATTTGGAAAGATGAGTAAAGGATGAAAAGTATACAGAGAAGAAGCAGAACACCTGTCCATGTCAGCTCCATCCTCCTCTGAGTTGTTTTCCTCTTCAAAATTCCCAGAAACTGTTTAAATGAGACAAGATTGCAAGAAGAAGGCTAACTTGAGGCCCAGTCTCATCTAAATAATATACTTTCTCTAATCCTTTTTTTAAAAAAATCAATGTGTTATTTTACTGCTGTCAATGCAGAGTAGTAATTTACTAATATCTCTACCTTTGGACTCTTGGTTCAAATAAGCTCTTGTTTTTGTACATTCATTGCAACAATTTGGAGTACATATAAGTTGGGTTGAAAACATGGACATTTGCCTTTTATATAACTATCGAAGGTAAAAATCCTTTCATAAAAAAATAATAATAACAGAGTTGGAAGGGAACTTAGAGTTCTTCTAGTCCAACCCTCTGCACAAGCAGGAGTCCATATTCCATTTCAAACAAATGGTTGTCCAGTTGCTTCTTAAAAGTCTCCAGTGATGGAGTTTCTCATCACACTGGATTGGCCCTTCCCGCTTGTGCTAGCATGCTGCAAGCCAGATTAAGTTTTCAGGGGTACTTACATGTATGGCATTCAGCTTTGTTTGGGTATTTTCCCACGTCATTGTAGTTGTACCTTTAAAGTTGTAGCAACGTTTCGGCAGAATCTCATCTGCCATGATTAGGCTTCTGTATTGTGCGAGGAGGCACAATACAGAAGCCTGATGATGGCAGATGAGATTCTGCCGAAACGTTGCTACAACTTTAATAGCAAAACCACAATGACGTGGGAAAATACCTGAACAAAGCTGAATACCATACATGTAAGTACCCGTGAAAATTTAATCTGGCTTGCAGCATGCCAGCACAAGTGGGAAGGGCCAATCCAGTGTGATGAGATAGTCCCTCAATTAGTCTTATACCTTGAACTGCTTCAAAGCTGTCTGCTAACATAAAGCCAGGTCATGGCACACACTTGAAACTATAGGAGAAGGGACAACCATTTAGCACTTTCCAAAGGTTTAGACTTCAATTCTAAGACTGCATAGTAACCATAGTCAACAA